CGGGAAAAAGCAAAATGGTCCAGACTTCCAATTTGCTTTTTCCCGGCCCGGGAAAAAGCAAAATGTATCAGGCTTGCAGTTTGGAATCCGGCCTAGAAACAAGCAGCACCTGTAGGATTCGAGCCCGCAACCTTCTGCTTATGAGCCTACCGCCTTATCCATTAGGCCACAGCTCTTTGATTTTACTTCGTAACCCTGATATAAAGGGATTTTTTCCAATTTGACTCAGACTTTGAATTTGCTTTTTCCCGGCCTACACTTTCAACCTGCATTTTTCCGGGCTGGGAAAAAGCAAAATGATCAAGACTTCCGGCTTTGGTTGCGCCCAACCCGCCATGAACAAAGAGACGGCTCAGCCAGGCCTTTCAATTTGCTTTTGCCCGGGCTGGGAAAAAGCAAACTGGTCAAGACTTCCAACCAAGCCATTTTCATGCTGGTGTGTTTTTGGTTGGGCGCAACCCTCCATGAACAAGAGACGGCTCAGTCAGGCCAGTTTGCTCAGTCAGACTTCCAATTTGCTTTTTCCCGGGCCGGGAAAAAGCAAAATGATCTAGACTTTCAACTTGCTTTTTCCCGGGCTGGGAAAAAGCAAAATGGTCAAGACTTCCAACCAAGCCATTTTGATTGCCCAACCCTCCATGAACAAGAGACGGCTCAGTCAGGCCAGTTTGCTCAGACTTCCAATTTGCTTTTTCCAGGGCCGGGAAAAAGCAAAATGGTTCAGACTTCCAACTTGTTTTTTCCCAGGCCTGGAAAAAGCAAAAGGCTCAGACTTCCAATTTGCTTTTTCCCGGCCCGGGAAAAAGCACAATTGTTTCAGATTTCCAATTTGCTTTTTCCCAACCCGGGAAAAAGCAATCGGAAGTCTGAAGAGCAATTGTTCTTGCAGCGTGGCCAGGTCACCAACATGACTTGCGCAGACCTTTCGCAGGACCTTCGCGAACCTTTCGCGACTGCAGTGAGAGCACACTCGAAATCAGCCTTTGAAATTCGATCACTAACAAGGAAGAGGTAGGTTTTTGAACGACGCTCATATCACTCTGAAACTTGGACGACAACAAAGAACCCAATCAGTGCTATGTAGTCTGGCAATTTTTCCATTGGACACAAACAAACATCGAAAACCCGAAAGCACCTGCCCACTTACACCAGCACAGTGATTCGGGCTTAAAGCCACTCATTTCCACCCCACAGCCATTGTTGAGTCGAAAACAGCGGGATGAAGTCAGTCTCTCAATGAACCAGCGGAGTCGAAACCAAACCGCATTGGTTGACATGTACGAAAGAAGTGCGATTCCCGGTCTTGGATGGTTTGCGAGGGTGTTGGAACAGAATGGCAAAAAGCAAAAAACAAACTCTCTTGTGATATCAGTGACATCAAGTGTTGGTTTGGTTTCTGCCTCTAAATTTGGTTGCTGTCATGCTACAACTTCACCTTACCAATCTCAAGGACAACATGCTGGTGTGTTCCTAGTTTATCTCTCCTAGGTTGTGAGAGACGAATATCAAACATTGACACAAAACAACATGAAAATAATCCGCTTATCTTAGGATGGCGCACACGCATCTTCCCACAAAACAGTATCTGATGTCCCGCTCACAACAGTGAAGACCGTAAAACTCGTTCAGTTCTGGATGCAGCTTGCTCTTGCACATTGCTCTGACTATATAATTGGACGCTCATCAAATAATATCATCGTTTGAACTCGGGGTTCCTCTTGATTTTCCGGTTGGATCTTATGAATGCACAAACTCGGTCTGGACCATGGTATGTACGGATGTACGTTGAGTCCTGTATGGGCCTGCTCGTGCTACTTGATTTCTTGCTTTGTCCAGCTGAACCATAACCCGAATCTGACGGATTAATGTGAAATGCTTAGGATTGGATGGTATGGGCCCTTTTTGTGACTGGGTGGGGGCAGCCCCTAACAGTCCCTAACACGTATTTGGAAAAAGGATTCTGCACAGTCTCCGGAGCATGAACAAACACACGCTGTCACGTTTTTCTCTCAAGGTTGACATCTTGCAAGAGCAAACGCTCGATGCTCGAGATGGCAGACTCGGATGCACAGGCAAGATATGGCAAGATATATGCTCCACCCGGTGTATGTGATACAATGGCTGGAAAGCCAATGCAAGAGAACGGACATGCCGCCATGCCCCTTGTTTAAATCCGCTCTCGAGCCACTATGCTAGGTTCATGATAGCTTCACTGTTTGTACTATGTCATCCTTATGCGGGGGTGCTAAACCTTCACACCCCGCCTCCGGAGTATTTGCTGGTCAACGGCTCCTGCATATCAAAGTCCCGAATGTGAAGTGCTTCTTCTGATTCTTTGTCGACTCATCCGTCATTCCTTCATCCCCACTCAGCTCAAGGAAGAAACTGTACATATTGGAGGGACGGTGTTCACACTGGCAAGCCCATATGAATATAGACTATAGACAATAACTTAATGTCTCGAACATTGCGGTTGACTAGGTTGTTCAAATAAAAATTCTTTAAGAGTTTCTTCTTTACAGACCTTGCCTTGAAAGTACCTCTTGTAAGCCAGGTGGTTCTATGTATAGACTTCCGGGAAGTTGTTACCTGTGACCGAGAGATACTGTAATATCTTAGAAGGGCAGCAATATATATGTAATTAATATAGCAATTGCTTGGGACACACTCATCTGCCTCTTCCGGCTCTCCTGGCCTTTTGGGGTCCATACCCCACCCTCAATAGTTTCGCAGTCGAGTCTATTTCCTTCACACAACTTTAAACATATTTAGCAGGATGAGCGAATCTAGCTGCACAGATTCTAACAAGAGAAAGGCACACTAACAGTCTAACACACCCATCTACCTGGACAAATCCCAAGCACTGCTCAAAAAGCAAGCCATTCAGTTTGGGCAGAAGGTCCATGCAATCGAGTCTACCAGTCTACCTGCTTCAGAAAATGTAAACCACCAGCGCACAAATTATGATAACACTGGCATGATGAAGGACTGTCAAAAAACAGATCCTAAGTGATGGGTGAAACACACACACCCATCTATATGTGAAGATGTTTGTGAAATTCTGAAAGCAAGCGAGCCTGCGCTCAGCTGTCAGCAGTTCACTTAGACTTAAACATTTTGCATCACAGACTGCTCTTGGTCGTGGTTCATTGGACCATTCGACCGGCTCACATTCTCCACCCTCTCCTTCAAAGTGGAGGGACACAAACCATGTGGTTTACCCTGCAAAGAGGACAAGAGAGTGTTGGAGAGCCGGAGCCACTCCAGCGGCATCCCCACTCCATCAAGCATTCTTCGTGATAACAGTGTTGGCATGGCAGCTGCTTAACTTGCTCATGAAGGTGGAGTTGGTCCAAGCAAATTGGACATGTCAAGTCGCCGTCGATGTGCACATATGGAAGTTGATTGTGAATCCACCTGGGAGCATTCGGAGGGTCTCAAGTTACAAGGTTGGACAAAAGACTCCACTCGGATTGAACACGTGGTCTGTCAGAAACCAAAAGGCTGCCCCCAGTGTTTCCTTGACCAGGCTACAATATACCAAGCTGTTGTTTTCTACTCACCCAAACTAGGGATCATCCCTCGTCCAACCCTCGCAGGAACCCCAATATCAGCGTTTCACGGTCAGCCTCTTCACATTGGGCTCTGTGTTCTTGCCCAAGATCCGAAGATGTTGGCCCACACGGCGAAAATCCACCCACAGAAAGCCCAACAAAAGCGCGAGGGCAAGCAAAATGCCCGCAGCGACAAAGAAGTCCGTCATAGCTTGAACAAGAGCGCTGAATTGCCACGGTCTACGGCGCGTAAGAATACCTCTGATTTGATTATGCAGCTCTAGCCTATAACTATGCCTGGTGCAAAGCGTGGAATGAAATGTTGAGGCGTTTGTTCTGACCTAAAACCAACATCACAAGTGTGCTCGCAGTGCGCCAAACAGCTTTGAACCACTAAAAAGTTGCAGAGTGCAAGGGCAACTTCCAGTCGACTTCAAGCTCTTTGGTCATCGTGCATTGTGAGTTTGTCAGGTGACAACTCACAACCTGGTTTGGACGATGCACAGATCACACAAGGTCAGTGCGGGCCAGCAACCTGCAAATGCCCGTTAGTTTGATGCGTGGAGCTGCCAATTCAACCAGTGAGCCGGCCTGTTGTCGGAATCAAAGGAAGGTAGTTCTGAGATGTTGTTATAGGACCATTATGGGACAGCAAATTAGGATCCTCACGTCGTCACATGATTTCACGTCGTCGGCGCAAAACGTCGGAAGTTTCCTTCTGCAGACTGTGTAGCAGCTTTGGCTACCTCTGGTTCGCCTCTCAGGTTCGTCGATGCCTTTGTCAATACCTGGGTGATCATCATAGTTGATTGCTAGTTCACATTGTCACATTCGAGTTCTTGGGGTGAAAGGAGGTAGAATTAGATTCAACAATTAAGTACAAGTATATATAATGTGATTCCCTTGAATCAATATCAAACAAAGTTGGATTCATGTCCATGTTTTGGGTAAACAATACATGCAATGTAGCCAGTCAAAATGGACACATCCAAATCCAGTGTGGACATTTTGATGTTCCTCCGCATATGTGCTCTTGACATCTGACATCTTCATCTACCCAACGTTGAACTGGATCACAACCAAACTAACCCCAATTCAACATGTATATAGACAGTATACAGTATACTGTGTACCCGGATGTATGCGGCAAACCATCAGTCGGAAAAATAACCAACGGGTTATATATTATAGGTAGCAACAAGAAAGCAAACCCTTTCAAAAACAAGGAAAATAAACAGCTGCCTTTGATCTTTCATCAAAGCTTGTGTCACTTATTTTGCGTGTGATGGATAAGCTTCACACAATGTTCATCCGCCTTCCAACTGAACAGAACAAAAGACAGGACAGGACATCGAATAAAAAAAAACTTGTATCAGGGAAGTCCTGTCGGGGCCTTGTCGTCCGCCTTGCCGAGCCGAAGCACCGCAAAAGGCCCACGGTCTGGGTGGAGGTCCCGTCGAAGAAGTCGCCCTTCTGTGGGGCCCAGTCAGGAACTGGCCTCACGTGGGGGCTGAAGAGAGTGGCCGTTCTTTTTGTGTTGTGGATGTTCATGAAATGGAAAGCCCCCAAAACGAGGATGAACATTGTCCTCAAGCCCTCTAGGACAGAGATTGTCTTTTCACTTTTCACTCCTTTTCCGTGTTGGTTTCTTGTCTCAAAATTATGATATGACCACATACCTCCAACAGAAGCAAAGGATCTGATGCTGAAGGTCCTCCAAAGCACTTGCGGCAACAATCAAACTTCCTCATGTATGCAAAGCAACCGATATAGTGCAATCAAGAATGATCCAGACTTATCCAGACACACTCTGACATTGGTATTCAGTTACACTCAATTCCCAGGTAAAATGGCGATGGAACGGCAGTGGCAGAGTCCGTGAAAAGGTATTGTTTAACAATGTTTGCAAGCGCACTCGAAGAAACGGACACTCAGCGCTGCTGCAAGTCGGCTGCATGTCTGCGGTGGGAAAATGGGTTTGGGGGTAGGTAGCATGAAGGACTATGAATCAAACCGATCAATTGGACAGCGTGATCAACAATGATCAACAGTTGTGTCGCAGGTACAGGAATGTGCGTCCGCATTCCCTTCCGGCTGAATCCCATAGCTTCGTTGGCATGGCTAGGGAAACAGCTGCCATGCCCCCTGCCTCGTGGAAAGGTGGTAGTGGAAACGGTGGCATTAAACCCTTTGGCACAGGGGGTGACACACACACACATGGTGCCGCTTCGCGGCGCACGTGTGAGAAACCTCAATAGTCAGCTAAAAAGCCTTAGAAACAAAAGAAAAGAAAGACAGAAAGAGCAGCGCTAAGAGGGCAAGAAAGAAAGGTAGGTGTAGAAAAAGTGAATACTTAGCCCTTGACTGGGGCAGGGAAACGAGCCTCAAGAGCAACCTAAAAAGCCTGAGAGAAAGCCCAACAAACGACGAAAGGCGCAAGAAAGAAAGCGGGCGGCAGGGAGGGGGTGTATGTTCATGTGTGTGTACATGTGTGTGTCTGAATACCTAGCACTCTAGAGTTACTGATTACTTAGCAGAAATGAATTAAATGCAATAGTTAGGGAGCGGGACTTTAGTCTTAGACCGCCCGGGTAGGATAGACTAGAACACGGACAACAAAGGGAAAGGCACCGACACACAAGTGTGTCGAGTACCATTTCCCTATGTTACCCTAATTAGGTCGGGATAAGAACGCGGGGGGGGGGTGGGATGGGAAACCTGCCTGACTGCATGACTGCAAGTGGAGTACCGTTTTATAGCCCGGCGGCTGTGGTGGTTCACCGTTTTTTGCCCGGCGGCCGTGGAAGCAGTAAATTCAGTTAAGGTCGGTCCAGTGGTGAATTCCGGTGAAGGTGGAAAAGCTCAGTTACACGATTTCCGGCATGAATTCAGCGCCCCAGTGACGGAGATCACACTCAGCACCCGAGTGGGACGGCTGAGCGAAACACACTCTGACATTGGTATTCAGTTACACTCAATTCCCAGGTAAAGTGGCGATGGAACGGCAGGGTGGCAGAGTCCGTGAAAAGGTATTGTTTAACAATGTTTGCAAGCGCACTCGAAGAAACGGACACTCAGCGCTGCTGCAAGTCGGCTGCATGTCTGCGGTGGGAAAATCGGTTTGGGGGTAGGTAGCATGAAGGACTATGAATCAAACCGATCAATTGGACAGCGTGATCAACAGTTGTGTCGCAGGTACAGGAATGTGCGTCCACATTCCCTTCCGGCTGAATCCCATAGCTTCGTTGGCATGGCTAGGGAAACAGCTGCCATGCCCCCTGCCTCGTGGAAAGGTGGTAGTGGAAACGGTGGCATTAAACCCTTTGGCACAGGGGGTGACACACACACACACACACCATTATATTAATTGCCAGACCTAGCAATTGGGGCATCATGGTCAAGATCATTTATGATCTGCAAAAAACGCAAGCTGTAAATAGTCTAAAATACATTAAAATACTATATACCGGCAACATGCAAGGGGGTTAGCAAAAACGCACCAGAATCAAGATAGGCTCAAAAGAATTGTAGGTGCCTGTTGGCTGTTGGCGCTCCCCTTGAACTGGCGGGGCAAAGCAGCCTCTCATGTCATTGATGTTTAACAAAACATTACAGTATGTACTTGATGCAAAGCATATACTTGAAGAACAAATTTGGAAGTCATTTCTGTAGCTGCTCTTTGTGAACTTCTACCAGGTCGATGAGGTGAAGCTTGTTGTCTTTCTTCTTCCACACCAAATTGGTTGGACATCCTTCGGGAGACGAGGGACTTCCCAAGGGGTGAACCTGGCCTTACTACTAGGAACAAGAAGCTACTAGGGTTACTAGGGGTTCCTGTCCTTGCTCCCAGGTGCTCATTTCCATCCACCAGCGCCGCTTGGGACCCCCAGGCACATCTTCAAAGCAGGCATCGCTGCTGGAGGCCTCTCGAAACGCCTCCAGGACAACTCAAATTCACGGGCTTCTGATTCTTGATGATTCTTGCTTGTTTAGGCCGGGGGGGGTCTCTCACTGACTCATGCATGTTTGAAGTTTGCAGGTTGAACATGTAAGTTCCACACGTCCCGTCAAGATGCTTAATCCAATCGGGAATCTGCGCTGGCGCAAAACGTCTACGTTGCAAATTGCATATTGCAATCAACCCACCAAAACGAGGATCTTCCTGGTTGCGACCAATCCAATATTGACCCTTCACCCACAACAGGATGTTTGCACCTAGACAACTTGTGAAAACACCCAAAATCAAGAACTGCTGGAGTTCCCGAGATTTGGCATTTCTTTGAGGGAGGATGTGATATAACTAAACCCACCCCCTCCTGATCCCCAGTTCTTTTACCCACAGAAGCCTCTTGACTGCCGCTGAATCCCTGAACACCACAGCTCGAAGAGGGTCCCCTCTCTCATCGGGGTTACAGAACAAACAAACAAATACAGTGTGAATGGTCTTTTGTTTGTCCCCAGTTCGCAAGCTGACTGGCATAACGGGCATGGACATTCCGCGATTCTTGGAAAAAAACAAACGCATCGCAAGCAAGATGTGCTGACTGCCAAACAAAGCTACAAAGAGACCTTCGGTTCCGGACAAACAGCTTGCTTCAGAACATGTATGGGCTTAACCGCTTGGCAGTGAAACAACAACAACAACCACAACAACCACAACGACCACAACAACAGCAGCAGCAGCAGCAGCAACAAACAACAACACGTTAGGAACCACAAACAAGTTTGTTGTCATCTCTTTCCGCAATCGATTTTGTATATATATATATATATGTATGTGTGTGTGTTCTGTTTGCTTCCTTTCCGCAAAAAGTCCGTTGTTGCCTCCAGAAAGGCTGGCCGCCCTGAACGACCACCATCGGTCAACACCAGCTGCCGCCCCTCCAGTGGGAGTTGCATGAATGAGATTAGCCGGAGCAAGGGGAATGCGCTCAGGAATGTGTTGGTATATTCAATATGATGTCTAGTTTGGAATTCTAGGATATCATAGTGGATATCATTTGAAACGTCACACCTGGATAGGAGAAAGGTATGCGCACATGGAAATCCTTCAGCTTCACGTGTCTCTAAAAAGGATCTGCCTTGATGAAACAGTTCTCCTGCACCCTCAATAGTCCAATGTTTTTTCAATGTCAGTAATTGGAAGGCCTGTGCCTTGATTGTCTCTGATCAAAGTGCAGCTTTGGATTTGATCGTGTTTGATCATCTCGGGGCTCCACGTGGCTCCACCCACATCGCATTGAAGACCCAACGTGTCACTGGCTGCACCTCATCGATCACCCAACGTCCCAAGCACCAGCCTCTCGCTGGGGAAGCGGACAAAGGGGAGGTCGGTGGACGACATGTTTTTCAGGAGTCTACAGAAGTTTCTCAAGAAGTCCCAGCTTTTCACACCCAAAATGCTTGGGTCAAAACTTGTTTACATATAATATATAACAATATATATATATTGGTATCCTCCACACCAAAGCTCTTGGTTCAATCCTAAGTGGTCTTGAAAACGTATTCTACAGGTTTGCCAAACTCCTATTCAAACTTGCAGGAAATCTGTGAGTCGGAAAACACCTACCAAGTCTGTTGCATCTTCGAGGCCTTCAACACTCATCCTCAGTCCTGACTCCTACCGAACCACTGCCCCAGATCGCCTAGGGACTTTCCCAGTTCCACACTGTAAAGCAAGTCCTCAGAACTGAAAAGACAGCAATTTCGATGGCCACATCGATAGTTTTCATAGAACTGGACTGGCGAATGAATCAAAGAGAAAATGCTCTTGACTTCCAGGATGACCTGGAGATCAATCAATATCCAGAAAGCTAGATCTTTTGCAGGCTCCCATGACTTTCTCAGGTTCAATCTCTGCAAGGCAAGAACACAAGCTCAAGTCATTGTCTCTCCTTGGATAGGTCCAAAAGCAGCTGGGATACTAGCAGCTTTGCACACAGTGGACTCCAGCACACTCGATAGAGGAATTCAGGATCGAAACATTTAGTTCGCTATTCTGAATAACACAATGTTGACAATTGGCCAAACTCAAACACAATTCAACCATTCATTAATATTCCAACAGTTAAAGCACGTGTCGAAACTCAGCATAGTATTTTTTTGGCCCCCCATCACCGGAGGTTTTGAAAGTATCTACTGTAAGCTGTTCATTTTCTGCGTTGGTGATGGGCTGCGGTTAACGCTTAACCCATGTCAACCCTATTCTTCTCTCGCTGTCTCCAACTAACGGCTATCCACAGCACGAGCAACAAACAGCAAGCATTATCGGTGTCAGCATTTAGGCTGCAAATGCATGTTCCGCCGAGTTCTCTCAGTGCCGGGCGCTCACAATGATCAGCGACACTGAAGCCAAGAGGTCCTCACAAGTGGATGCACCCATCTCCCCTCCTAGGATAGCATCGGGTTGTAGTGGGTAGGGAAGATTACTTAGCTGGGACCTCTACGAAGCTACTGACGAGGCTGTGAGCATCCGAGGGATAGACTAAGCCTGCAAGTCCAGCAATGCAGCCAACTGGGTTGAAAAGGCTACTTTATGTGTCGACATATCCCACCATTGTCCGGTTTTGCTCCACCTGAGACATTTCGCCTTCGCCTTGAACCAAACATCTCCTAGTCGATCTGCAGAAACAATCATTATTTCATTGAACCCAAAGATGCCCCAATTGAAGCCAACATGCACAAAAGGAGTTGGTTCTTGACTTTACCAAGCCGGTCATTTGAGTTGACAAGGAGATTGGAACCTGATAGAACATGTACCATGTACCTATGTATAGCTAATTACTTTGAACAAAATGAAAAATATTGAAACAGGCTAACAACATCTTCTAACACCAGTTGTCATAAGTCTATCAGCACTTCATCCCATGGACGCCCCCATTGTACGTAGACGTAGTCACACGTAGTCACACCTTCCATAGTCACCATCCGCATCCTGGGGCAGCTTCGAAGCATCACCCAGCAGTGGGACCAGTCGGCCACAAGTGCCTCCGACACCAGCGGCCGGGGATAGCCGTACACTTAGGGCCCCCAACCTACTACCAAAAGGAACCAACTAGCAATGTATGGAATTTCACAACCCAGGGTTTATAATTGAAGTTCAAAATTTTATAAATTATAATGGGCTGGGGGCTACCTGGGGTGAAATTCTCAGCGCAAAGCAGTTTTTCCTCTTTTTCACGGCTCGAAGACCAAGTTGCTCTGGTTGCAATCTACCCACACACTCAGCAGTTCGAGGAATACCGGGCCCTCCCCTACTCAAAACCCATCATGTTTATCTTTCAGCCGCCAATAAATGTGTAGACAAGTTCTTTTGGGCCCTCGAGGTAAACCTCCTTCAATGGAGCGATCTGCTTTAAAGCTTGACATCTACCCCAAAAAAACAAGATCCAAGGGTAATCTGTTTCGCTGCCGCTTTGTGGTATTTATTTGTTTTAGAAACGTTTTCTTATAATTTTCCTGGCAGCAAAGCCCCACACAAACTGCATAAGAAACAAATGTGTTCTTATACTGTTTTCCAGGAGCAAAACATTAAAAAAAACAGTTTAAAAAAGAAAACCACTTAAGAATTTGCTCGCCACACGCACACATTTTTTTGTTTTTGGTCACCCAATTTAGGAACACGCAAACAATCAAATTATAAGAAACATATAAGAACAACATATGTCTATATTGTTTTTTCTGGGAGCAAAGAGCAAAGTTCCACAAAAAGATAAGAACAAACGTTTTTCTTATATTTTTCTGGGAACGAAGTTCCACCAAATAATCTTATAATTGTTTTCTGGGAGTAAAGTTCCAGACAAAAAAAATTATAAGAATAGTTTTTTCACATATCTTTTCTGGGAGCGCAGTTACACCAGTTCCTTTCAAGGTTCTTAGACTTTGCCCGCCGCAGGCGCCGATTCTTTTTACGACAATTCTGAAATCTCTAAATATATTAGGACTTAAAGGGTAACGGTTTGCGCCAAAAAAAATAACACTTGAGGTCCCAAAGTTAGCCACGCAACCATTTTTTGCTTTTTTTTGTGGAATTTTGCTCCAAAAAGAATATAAGAAAAAACATATTTTTTTGGTGGGGTTTTGCTCCCAATGACAAGGTAGGATGTAAAAGAATGTAAAAACACTCAAACACGATCCATCCCGACGCACATCATGGCGTTTTCTCACTGGCGCAGCTAGATCGACTCAAGGCCTTCATTTGGGCCGTGACAGCAAGATCAGTCCAAGGTTCCTCAAGACTCGTTTCGGTCTTTCGTTTCATCAGCCCCCCCAAATTTCTGTTGGACTGATCTTGGTCTTCTTCCTATGCAAGTGCTGTGGTCCTTCGGCCAGCACATGCTCTTCGAACTGCAGCTGGAAGCTGTTGTTTTTCAGGAGCCTTGCCATGGGTTCTTCATGAGCTTGGAAGAGCTTCGTGAGGGGGTCAGATGGGTTCTGGTTGTGTGGAACCCACCTGATCCTCCCTTTCAGGCGTGCCAGCGAGTCTTTCAGCGAGTCTTTCACCACTGCCATCTCCAAAGCGGTGCGGTCGTCATTGCCTTGGGCCTGTTCAGAAGCTGACGCATCAAAAACAGATTTCGCATCGACAATCGCGATGGCTTTTGGGTCGGTGTAGTTGGCATCTTCCGATGCTATGACAGTGCAGCTTCCGTGAAGACCTTTGGTGTCTTCGGCCTCCACTTGCTTGCGAACGTCAAACCTTGACTGACAAATGCTCTTCCACATGGCAACTTGCTTTTCGAGGGCTCCGAGGGCGGTGGACAAGCTTATGGATTCACACAACATGGTGGATCCTGCTTTCCGTCGCAGTTTGCGACTCTTCCAGCTGATCAAGGTGATCTTGGCTTCAAGTCCCTTGTTGAGGTCAGGTGTTGTCACCCCTTGTAACCAGCCGTGCTGTGGTTTGAGTCGACCGGTTTGGTCGAAAGAGGCGTCTGACACCACAAAGTGTCGCACCTGCTCCTCTGGAATGCTGTGCACTTTCAAGGTGACTTGATGCCCCTTGCGCTTGTCAACGACCTTGTTGGTCATGATCGCATCGTTGACCGATGGATTTGGGAAACTCGATGAAAGGATGCTCGCCGCCGCTGCGGCGTCTGGGCGACCTTCACGAGCGATCCAATTGATCGATGCGATCGTTCCTCTAAGAGCTGCTTCTTCTTGAGAGTTCAGGATAGTTTCGCTGGCAAGGCGAAGTGGGACTTTTTGGTGTTCCACCTTCTTGAGGCGATTGGCAATGTAGTCATTCATCGTGTGCTCAAAGCTGAAGTCTTTCAATTGCTTGAGCCTCCTGCCAGCGTATGCTGTTCCTTGGGTCTCTTTTTGAAGCTCTGTGGCTTTTCCAAAACGGAACTTGGATTCTAGCCATTCCATCTTTCGACGGTGTTCTGCGTCTCCTGATTCTAGGAGATCATCCACTTCCACCACAATGATGCCACGTGTCTTGGCACCAGGGCCTCGATCTTCTGCGTCTAGGGTGAGGACGCAGCGATCGTAGGGGTTCACTCTGTAGCCACATTCTTTGACTAAGACTTCAAGAAGTGTTCGTCGCCACCATGCTGGTCCACTGACCAACCCATAAACTTCTGTTTCTAGCTGAATCAGCTGCTCTGGGTGAAGTCCTGGGAACACGCCGTCTGGAGGCATGGTGCAAGCAAGCTTCTGTTTGCGGGTGGTTGGTTTGGACTGCAAAAATGCCGTTTTGGCGTCTTCGACCCGTGCTTCCCAACAACGAGTTGCTGACAGTTGCATGAACATGTACAAGCTGCTGTGGTCAGGTGTGGGAGCTGAGCGTTCAATCTCGTGAATCATCGGGTCAAGCCAACCCACAACACACCAACGCGACTTAGCACCAAGTCCTTCATGGCTGCTGGGCTCAAAGTCTGGCTGTCCAAAGTCTTCGGGCAGCACTGAAAACTTTCCATCGCCTGATGGTTTCCAGCGGTCAACGTACCTGGACTTCAACACATGGTCTGGAAATTGTTTCCTGAATTGCCGACTGTCAGCCAATGACAGGATGGTGATTGCTTTGTTGTTCAACAAACTTTCAATCTCTTTCTGTCTGGCGGCGTCAAACACCTTCTTGTGTTCCTTGGACAAGTCATTGTAGACGACCTGTCCTGGTGCTAGTTTGACCTTAGTGAGGTAGATGAGGATCGTCCTCCAGAGACGGCTTCCAACGGACTCTCTTTGCCGAGTGGTGCCGACGGCCACCAGCGGTCAAACTGACATGGGGCTCAGCATCACTAGACAAAGCGTCCGCTGGAGCCGCCTGGGTCAAGGGCGAAGTCGAAGAAGCCGTCGAAGTAGAAGCCGTCGAAGTAGCCTGCCTCCCCAAAATTCTGCTGGATGGAAAGGCTTGAAAAGTGCTAAACAGCCTCCATTCTTGGAGAAAGGTGGTCTCCTCTTGGATGTAGGTGGTACAAACTTGTGCCAGGGAGCGGGAAAGAGAGTCAGCTCTCTCCTGAAGCTCCGTGGGTAGGACTGTATCCATGCATTCCTCGGCTCGAACAAAGCGACATAGTTGGTAAACTGGTGCAAATGTCTGTGAAGAGCCTTCAAAATGGCTTGAACAAATGCTGGAGTATACTGGGCTGCGGCGGCCGCTTTGCCGCCCAACAACCATTGGTGGTCATGATCCCCTTGGCATCGATGTCGGTGCAAACTTTTTGCCAATGGGTACAAATTGGTCACCAACAGCGTCTCCTTCTTGGCCAAATAGCCATACACTGTTCTCAAGCCAAAGGTGCACATGTCAACAACGACACTGAAAATGCCTGGACGCTGCAACAGTTTGTGGCTTCTCTTCTTTTGCCAGCTTGTGGCTCGACGAGGGTGTTCCAAAAGGAAGCCTCGTTTCTCATTGTATTGCTCGTCGCAAAGGTCCAGAGCATGGTTCCAGTGCAAATCACCTTCCGCTTCTTCTTGTTCAACTTGGATGGGGTCTCTTTTGAAGTTGGAGAGTTTGCGCAGTGGTGTAAATACCGTGCATGGTGGGCACACTAGCAGGAGAGCTGGACGATGTAGTCGAAGTAGTCTGAATGATTGGGCTCAGTCCTTGGCTCGACGAAAGTCATAGCCGGTGACCAAATCCAAAGCTTCTCCAATACGCCACCGAGGTCTGACCTTTTGTTGGTCGTTCTGCTTCTGGGCTTCGAGAGTCAGTCGAGGTGGACTGTAAACCTCCATCACATCCACTCCATGGGCTGTCCGAAGGCTTTTCTCAATGAAGATCTTGACGCCTCTTGGGATGTTTTTGGCTGAAGTGTTCCAGTCAAGATCCGAGCCGAGGGACAATGTTGTCCATGAAGTGGGATATACCCAACAAAATGTCGGGTATTGGCATGCAGCTGTTTGCAAAAATGTGTCTTTCTCTGGATTCCATGGCTGCGACTTCCAGTGTTCATTCTCGTCAGTGCAAAACAAAAGGTGGGACGGTTGTCCCAAAAGGCAAGGAAGGTTGTCAAAGTGCGGCTTCCAGGTCTGTATATTGGAAGTGAACGTGTCGTTCCAGAAGATCTGCCGTTTGCATTCACCAGTTTGCTGGTAATTGAACTCCTCGAACTTGTGGTGCTGAAATGACGTCTCAGGAACTTCGTCCGATGTTGACATCAAGTCTTGCCGTGGGTCGCCTGAGGGATTGGACGCGACCACAAAAGAGCACATCAAAATCACCTCTGAAGCTGCTCGTTGGCCATGCAAAAGAGTGGCCTTCAACTTCATGGGTTGTGCATGTCCTCGTACTCCTTTCTGCTCCAAGCGGGGCCGTGTACTGCTTCCACCTGCTGGGTCTTGATGTCCTCGTAGGCCATCATCGCTTCTTCCCACTCGGACGGTGGGATGGAGATCGGTGATTCCTCCTCTGTGTTCAGCTGGTAGCGCTCGGTGGGCTCGGATGTCATTGGCGACGTTGGACTTGTCGCCTTGGTCTTGGGTCCGGCCTGAAGAGGAACCAATCCACTCATGCTCTCCATGGACCGACTCTGACT